CGATCCCAGTCACTTGTCATTTCACATCGAAAAGTCAAACTTCACTCTGCACATAGTCTTGCTCTGAACTTTACGAAATCAATACATCATTGCTTCGATCAGAAAACTTGACACAATCACCTAAGACTACCCACGATCAACGAGACCCAAAACACAAACGAAAACAACCTTCTTCCATGTAACACAAACAACTACACCTCACCCTTGTTCAAAAAGTCACTGCTCACAACTTAGAAGAAAATTACATCACCCGTCCTTCATTATAAAAAAAAACAATTGAAACTAAAATCTCTCTAAACCCCGGATGAGTGGAACCAGCTCTAAACTGAAATTTACAATTGGATATAAATATAATTCTCTATTCCTATAAAATATTAATACTAACCAATCATATTCCATCCCTAACAAAGAGACTTGTTTGTAAGTGCTGAAAATACCTTTAGTTTCAGCACCAGAACAATTGTAATAAAACTTAGACTACAGTTGTTCTCCTTCAGGATATAACTCCAAGAACTAATACGCAAAAACCAGTATACACTAGTTCTATTTAGACTAGAAGAAATAGGAGTAAGATTAAGTTTAGTATTAGAATAAGAAGTTGCACGAATCTATCTGGCCGAAAATAAGATAGCGTGACGAACAGACGTTGTACCCTATCTGAAATCAATCTATGCGTATAACCAAATGGTCAACTCACAGGAGCTATTGTTCCTTTCTTATGTCTTTCTGAGCTGGTCAGTAATGTCTCACTTCCACAAAACGGGCAATGATGGTCATCGAGCCACCCAGTTTCTAACTGAGAGGGGGTTGCTTAGAACCCGGGTTGACCTCCATAGACCGAAAATGCTAATCATCCAATTTCATACACTTAGTCTATGGAAAAATGCTAGTCATACAAATTTCACGCATTTTTGCAAAATGAATTTAATCGAATTTCAAAAATATCTTATAGGTGTTTTGGTATCCAAATTGGTATCTCTTCATTAAAAAAAGGAAAAAAAATGTTTCGAAAAAAATGGTAACCATACAATTTCCCTATATGGAAATTAAATGATTAGAATTTTAAAAAAAGTGTGTATAAAAAAGCTTTGAACAATCAATTCAGATGCTGGCAAAACATTTAAGCGTTTTTTGGGTTGCTACGACTGAAAATTTTGCCATTTTTATTTTTGTTTTCTGAAAAAAAATATATGGAAATTGTATGACTAGCATTTATTTGATGGCGACAAAAAAAAATTTTCTAAGTATTTTTGAAATTGCCTCGAAAAAAATCTTGTGTTTTTTTTTCAACCGCAAATTGATTATCGTTTTCAAACAAACGTTTTTTGAAAAAAAAACTTTGCATGCAAAATTGAATTTTTTGTGTGTATAACGTAGTCCTGGATATACTAAATTGGATTTTTTTCCTTTCCTTTTCATAATTTTTTTCAAAAACGCTTAAAATTCCTCTTTCTTTTGTATGACATGTTTTTGTATGCCTTGATCAATGTCTGGTAACTTAAAAATTCAAATTTTAGAAATAATCATCTTTGAAAATTATTGCCAAAATTTAAATGTTAGTTACTTTCGTTATATGATTTGTCTGAGACAGAAGTAACACATATCAGGCTGTTTCCAATGCATTTTTAATGCGGGACGGCCAAACCTTTGGTTACTACGTTTGAGTAATCAAGGTTTATGTCATTTGTGTTCGGTTACCAACACAGCCAAAAGTTTTGAGAAATTAAAATGTAAAAAATCATCATTTTTGGTTTATCGAAAAATGCTAGTCATACAATTTCCATATATGGAAAAAAAACTAATCAACGACCTTTCATGCAATTTTCTGTACGTATGGAATTGTATGGAAAGTGTATGACTAGCATTTTTCCATTTAAGGAAATTGTATGACTAGAATTTTTGGTCATCCCGGGAAACTTCAAATTCTCCCTCAGTATTGTTGAAAAGACTTGTTGTGCAGTATTTAATTCCAATAAAGATAATCAACTTGATCTTGCAAAGTTAACAATAAGAGTGGTTATCAATATTATCCAAGGGTGACAGACTGTTCCAAGGACAGCACCTGCTAATACATTAATAAGTACCATAATGACAGTTGATTGACAGCTTGCAATTTGAACTAAATAACACTATACGACACTTCCCCTTCAATAGATGAAACTTAAGATGACTGAAAATTTAATAACAACATGTTGATTAAGATTTACTGATAAGAAAAATACTTAATGTTTATTTAAAGAATGAATAACAACTTTACTGACAACGATTTTTATCAACTAAAAATTCACTTAGCAGTGATGGCGTTTGAGTTTTAGTCAATTAAGACCGACCCTCTCCCTGGGCTAATTAGGCTAATAGTTTTGTTTTATGGTTCAGTTTGAATTTTCTTTTTAGACTACTTCTTTCCCTCCTTTTCGCTCTGATTGATGAAATCAATCATCACCCCTCCCACTTTGGTCACCACCGTTCTTTTTCTACTGCTTCTTCTCGATGCTATAGATCCTGTGTCGTCCTGGCTATCGTCCTGACTGCTATCAGATACCAGTCTGGCCTTCTTTGATGGTTCTTTTTTTGCTGGGTGCTTGAGTTGGTTGGTCCCCTGGATTAGATGTAGCCGGATCCCTTGGGTTTCTATCCAAATCGCCACTGCGTGCTGGAATGGTTTCTTGGTCACTTCCACTATCTGCGTCCCTTTGTTGCATTGCCGTTGGATCTGCTTGCGCTGTTGAAACCTCCGCGGATGGTTGTTTCGTTCGTTTGACCAAAATAATCGGCAGATCGTCAGTGTCTTCCGAATCAGAACCACTGTTCTCAAATCGGCGGCCACTTTTCTCCCGTTGTTGCTTCTGTGGAGCAATCCTCTTCATCGCTCGCTCTTTAAGCGTAGATTTGGCGCAGATTTTGGCGCAGATTTGGCGATGATACAAATGATTTTGATCCTGTTTTAATCTTCTTTGGCTTAGATTTTGTGGCCACCCCCAATTTCCTAAGCACAACCCCATTATTTAAAGTCAACGTATGAGCACTTTCTGATTTAACTTTCGAATGAAGCGGTTTATACCTCTTGAAGTTTCGATTTCCAGTTCGCTGGAATAACAATCCAGAAGGTCCTCCGGATTCCCTAACAATCCGCTGGATTAGATGTAGCCGGATCCCTTGGATTTCTATCCAATTCGACACTGCGTGCTGGAATGTTTTCTTGGTCGCTTCCACTATCTGCGTCCCTTTGTTGCATTGCCGTTGGATCTGCTTGCGCTGTTCCGCGGTGATCATTAAAAGGTGATTTTATTATTTCAATACCCTCCCCATTACAGAATGCTTTAATCTCATTCGACAAAAACATAAAACTCGTTCCCTGAACCACGTGAATTTTCCTTGGCACTCCATGATTTGTTATATAGGTTTTCAAAAACTTCAGTATTTTATCAAATCGATTATTTCGACAGACCATTGCCGAGGGACAACGAGAAAACCGATCAACCGCCACTAACACATACTTCCGGGATTCATTTAAGTAGTTAATGGGCCCCCAAAAATCCAGTTGAACTGATTCATTTGGTTCCTTCGGTTCAGGTATATTTCCCAGCTGACTTTTTCCTAAGATCGTTTTCAAGTTCTTACCGGCGGCGGTGCATTCAGGACAGTCCTCAGCTATTGAAGCTATTGATCGGTAAAAATAAGGGTACCAAACATCTTTCGCCGCATCAAACATGTTGGTTTTTCCGTGATGATATGCATGAATTCTATTGTTAAACGCGAGTAGACTTTCCATTTATTTTAATCGGCAACTGTGCCCAGGCGACTTTCAATTCCGTGGATTGTTTATGTTTTATCGCCATTAACATATAAGCCCCGTCTCAACTGCTCGAGTCCCACGAGTGCACCACTGGATTTTGTTTACCCATCCAATTGAACTTGCATGCTGGGACGCTTCTTCGTCGGCTGAATTATCCAGGTGTGTCTCGTCTACATTCTAACGTATCATCCCAACTGCTCCCCGTCCTCGCTGATTTCCGCGCTTACCTCTACAGGTACGTTCATAATGTCCTATTTTATGACAAAAATTACACCTAATTCCCTTTGCCAGACATCTATCCAAATGTTCTCTCGTAAAAATTGGCTGATCGCAGTTGTAGCATCGATTGTTTTGGAACAAATTTCCACTTCGGTTCGAGCCTCGCCCTTGATATGAACCTCTGCCTCGTGCGCGATTATTGCGATATCCTCCACGGATCGTTCCCACTGGTTCGGATTTAATTTGAATCCCACCGCCTGAACATGATCCTTGGGTTCGCAATGATCCCGTGGCGACATAGGATGTGGCATATTTGTTACGCCGCTCGTACGAGAGGGCTATCCGATAAACCTCCCCCGGTGTTTTTGTTGACCTGCACAGTTCTTTTTTCGCTTCACGGTTATTCATATTGACTATGAATACATCCCTTAGTATTCGACCCTCCAATGTTCCAAAATTGCATCGCGCCGCCAGTCCACTCAATACGGAATGGAATTGCTCCAAACTTTCATTAATAAATTGTTTCCGAGGGAGAAGCTGATATGTCTCGTATGTTTCATTCCTTTCCTTCTTGAATTCCGTTTCCAGTACGTCGATCATCCGTGGGTAACGAACCGTTGAGAGATTCAGATGTGGTCGTCTTTTGTGAAGTTCGTTTTGGCCTTTTTCTCCCAAGCACAAATACAAATTTGAGATCAGAACTTGTTCTGACTCCAGTCGATTCTTCCCATCCACTTCCTCGGGCAAAGCGGTAACTTGAGCGGCAGTGAGAGTCGCTGCGTAATAATAATTCTTCGGATTAATTGAATGCTTAGCCACCATTCCCCATTGGGATCTGTTGATCCAGAATCCAATTATCATAGGTGGTTCAGTACACTTTGCTGGCCAAAATCCTGTAATGCCCAGTGGATTCTTCCCCCCACCTGAGACTGCTGTCTGCGCCATGTTGAAAAGACTTGTTGTGCAGTATTTAATTCCAATAAAGATGATCAACTTGATCTTGCAAAGTTAACAATAAGAGTGGTTATCAATATTATCCAAGGGTGACAGACTGTTCCAAGGACAGCACCTGTTAATAGATTAATAAGCACCACGAATGACAGTTGATTGACAGCTTGCAATTTGAACTAAATAACACTATACGACAGTATTGACATGCTTAATTTAAAATATTTGATCTTCAAACTTTTCTAAAGTGCTTTGGCACATGTCCAGTGGCAAACCTAGGGTTTTCTCGAAGGCACATTTTTCAAAGAAAGGGCTAAAAAAGCGTTTCTTTGGCATTTTTTGGATAATTTTGACCAAAGCAGTTTCGTTCGATCCCCCCCCCCCCTCAAAATTAGTATATGTTGTCTCCCAAGGTGTCCGGAGAAAAATTTAGGGCCAATTAGCCAAAAATGGATATCTCAAATCTGTACAAAGAGGAAGGAAGAGCGTGCGTCCGCAACCCCTGCCCCCCTTAATTTAGCACACCTTGAACAGGTGGAAAATTGAATTCGTAAATCATTTATAAAAAAAAGAGTTGACTAGAGTTATTATAAATTTTTTCGATTTCAGGCAACTTCTACGAGCTGCCCTTTTCGGGAACTGCTGAGATGCGGAACATGTGGGCGTTGACTAATTGTGACATACCAGGACTGTTCATTGTGAAAGTAAACCAGAAAGCAGATGGCCCTTCCTTCCAACCAATCACAGACGTCTATCACGGAGGAGCCGAACACGAGGTGCACTGCACAGGTGACATCCAGCCAAAGGTGTTTGCTATGAAAGATGGCCAGCAGCAGTTCTCGATTGAAGAATGCATAGTTCCTTTTTTTAGTAGTATCCAGATCCTTTTCGAAATATCAGCTGGTAAAAGAGCAGCAGCAAACGTTTCATATGACCGGCCATCTGCTATACTTTCAGGCAATGCCCCCTACTCATTTTCAGCTGATCAACATGTCCAGGTTTTCATAATTCTTGATGGTGTTCGAGTGCTTTTACCGGAAAAAGTAGTGTCCTTTTCTCAGCCTGCTGACGAAATTTCGTTTCAAGTTGCGTCAGCATCTTCTTTCGGAGTTTCGACCTTTGTCTTCGACGCTATTCCGACTGTCTTTTCGAACGAAACCAGACTTCTGATAACCCAACTCGCATCAGGTTTAAACGTTTGCTGATCATCAAGTTTTTCAAGCAAAATATTGGTCTAAAATATGGATCTATTTATCGCGTGCGTCTTGTACACTCAAATCACCGCAAATTGGTTTAAAGTCATTTTTTCAACTTATTTCCTAAATTAAGATTCTTCTGGTTACAATTATCGCCGAAACGACACATTATCTAAAAGTTCAATTGCACTAAAAACTGTACTTATATGATCTAATTCATTTCAGACAATTCGATGCGCACAGACAGTGTTAACTTTAATCCAGATTCATCTGCTCCTCAAATTCAGATCCAAAATACGGACTTCGAAATAGTCAGTTTTTCTCTGCAAGACGATTCAGGGCCAAAAAGAAGTAAGTTCAAAACTTTTTTTATTAATGCCATTTGTTCATGAGAATTGGAAAAACATGCCAAGTACCTTAGGTTTGCTAAAAAATTTTCCCGATAATTTTGTTTCTTTGCCGCACATTCATTACCCACCCGTTAATGGACTTAGAGTAAAAGTTATATTGCGGCAATTGCTTAGTAACTGCAAACACACTGGTTGCGACATCGTCCAATACAGTGTCGACTGGAACTGCAAGCTCGAAGTGCATGGAATGGGAAAGAGAAGAGTCTCGAAAGGACTACTCCTTGTGCAGAAGCCATCTGGAGAAATGGTACGGCTGTCCTCGCCAACTGAGTTCTGACAGATTCAACGCCAGCTGGAGTGACGCGCAATGGGCCCATGAGGAAGTGCTCAACGGGATAACTGGTTGGAAGTACGACATCTGCTGTAATCATGACACAGATTTGCGAAAAAGACTGCATGACATCGGATTTTGCAATAAGTCCTTCTGCGAGTTCAATCAAGGTGCTGATTTTTGTATCAGATCTCCTAGACTTGCATGTTTTGAGAAAAATTCAATGAAGATTATATACGTGTCGAACCAATGCTGCTATGAGTCAGCAACTGGAGGTTTAATTCAAGCGAGCGATGAGTCTACTGCCCCTGGGAGCGTGGATCTTCAGATCAACTCAATTCCCACAATGGCCGCCCATTTTCGTGCCGACCTCCAACCGTATAAACATTGTTGTTTGCAATCCGAAAATTGTCAGCTTTATAAAACTCACCGACCCACAATTATAGGTAACTACTGGCCTAGAAATATTCTTTTTGGACGTGGAGATCCAGATTTTCAGACGGTCGATGGGCAGAGCTACCCGTTCAATGGGATTGGAGTTTTCACCCTTTTTGAGACAACCTTGGAAGACTCGACGATGGTGGAAGTGAGCACTCGACGAGTGGGCGACGGAAGCGTTTTCTCAGGTATTGCGATTCAACACTCTAGTGACACATTGCAACTGTTTCTGAACAAAAACAACGAGCTCCTACTTGTAATAAACGACCAAGATATGAACCTGCACACATTTGACCAGTTTTCGGTGGGCATTTTTTGTTGAGGACAGACGAGCTCAATGCCAGACTGGTGAAATACCAGACCAAACTCAAGGTCAGACTTGAGCAATAGAAACCTAATTAAAGGTCAACTGGTATAAAACTCAATGCACTCAGACAAGGTCAACTGGTCTGCTGGTATTTGATAAACTAATTAATTAACTGGTAATTAATTAACTGGTACTATTTGATGCTCAGTTTGTCGTGTCATTTTATAAACACAATCTCAATTCATTCTTCAACAATCAGTATCTCTTCTCTCTCCTCAGTTGAAACCTCAGATAACTCTCAAACCTCTATCCCCTAGTCCTACTTGCTCTAACTCTGAATCTTAACAGGTTATGGGCCCAGATTTCTAAACTTTTTGATTTAATAATTATTTGATTTCTGTCAGAGTTTTTTTTTAGCTTTTATCTAGCCTTTAGCAAAGCAGAGATGGACTTGAAACTGGCTGGATTCAGTGGAAAGTCTGAAGATTTTCCAGCTTGGTCGACGAAGTTTGTGGCACTGATGCATACCAAAGGCCTGTTCAGGACTGTGATGGGCAATGACGATCTACCAGAAGCTGAACCTACGCTACCTGAGAATCCGAATGCTGACCAGATGACGGCGTACAACACCAAGATGCAGGAGCGAGCTGTGCTGATCCAGCAGAGGAAAGACAACCGAAACACAGTGTGGTCACATCTAGCTCTGGTCCTGAACAACACCACACTGATGTACATCAAGAACGACTGCGTGGCTGCGGATGGCTATGGCGATGGGACGAAGGCCTGGAGACTGCTGCAAGAGAAGTTTTGCAGTGTGGAGAGGCCTACAGTGGTCAGTCTAGTAGGCCAGCTTGCGAAGCTGCGCCTAGGATCAGAGGAGGATCTCGATGACTACTTCGTTCGAAGTCAAGAGCTGATGACGCGGCTGAGTGAAGCTGGGGAAGCAATTACGGACACACTCTTCAATGCGCTCGTGATCAACGGACTGCCTGACAGCTTTGAGCATTTCGTGGTGCAGGAGAGCTTCCAGCCGGCCAAGACTTTTACAGAGCTGAGAACGAGGTTGAGGAACTATGATGACTCGAGACGAGCTCGATGTGGAGAGAAGACTGGGAATGGACACATAGCTATGCAAGCTGTGAGGAAGAAGAAAGGAGCGTCGGGTGGTGGCTGTTTTGTGTGCGGTCAGAAGGGTCATTTGGCAAGAGATTGCAGATCCAGAAGTGACAGTGGTCAATCTGGTGCTCGAGGCAGTGGCTCGAATGAAGCAAGTGGTCCAACTTCAAGGAAGCAAGGGTGCTTCAAGTGTGGACAACAAGGACACTTTGCAAGGGACTGCAAGCAGGCAAAGACAGGGTTCTTCAGTTGTTGTGCAACAACCTCAATGAAGGGAGATGATCTCATTGTGGATACGGGATGCACCGATCATGTAGTGCGCGACAAGGCTGTCTTCTCAAGCTTTGAGAAATGGGATGAGGGGACAACAGTTGAGAATCCGAACGGTACAATATCAAAGATTGAGGGCATAGGCTCGGTGGAAGTGGACATACGAGACTGTCAAGATGTGACGAGGAGCTACACTTTCCACAATGTGCTGTTTGTGCCGAGCTACAACGTGAATCTGATGAGTGTGAGCTCAGCAATAGCTAGAGGGTCTAGTTTCAGCTTTACATCAGACTCTTCTCATCTTGTGGCACCGGATGGTCGACGGCTACCAGTGAAGCAGCGCGGCAAGCTTTTCTTCCTGGAGTGCAAGTTCAAGAGGAACGCGATGACTCTAGCTACGAAAGCGAAGATGGAGACAAGTAGTGCAATGCTGTGGCACCGAAGGCTGGGGCATCTCAACAAGCATGATCTAATATCAGTTGTTGATGTCGGCGAGCTAGGGTTCTGCGAAGTGTGCACAGCTTCGAAGATGCACGAAGTAGCAATGCCAAAGAAGACAGAGAACAGGGCAACTGCAGTGGGGCAGCGGGTCTTCAGCGACATCCAGGGACCATTTGAAGTTGCGAGCATGCATGGAGCGCGCTATGCCGTGAGCTTCATTGATGACTTCAGCCGTCTGGCAGTGGTCAAGTACCTGGTTAAGAAGAGCGATACTCTTTCGAAGTTCAAAGACTTTGTAGCTGAGCACGGAACACCGAAGTGCTTGAGAACTGACAACGGAGGTGAGTATTCGTCGAATGCTTTTCGGATGTTCTGTAGAGAAATGCAGGTGAAACAGGAGTTTACAGTACCTAATACTCCGCAACAGAATGGCGTGGCAGAGAGGTACAACAGGGTGATAACTGAGATGACTCGATGTCTACTGGCCGATGCAAAGCTCTCAAAGATGTTCTGGGTACGAGCAATGTCAACGGCAGTCAGGGTTCGCAACTTGTGTCCTACATCCAGCAATGAGCATCGCATTTCATCAATGGAGATGCATTATGGGAAGCCATCGAAAGTCAACTACCTGCGAGTGTTCGGATGCCTGGCGTACTACCTGGACAGAGGAAACCGGCGGAAACTGGATCCGAAAGGCAAGAAGAGCAAGTTCATTGGTTATGACGAGGAGAGCAAAGCCTACTTGCTGATGGACCTGGAGACAAAGCGAGTGGTACGAGCAAGAAGCGTGACGTTCAATGAAGACATCATTCCAGACGACTTTCTGGTAGACAGTGAGCAGTCACAAACACTGGGTCTATCAATCGAGGGATGCCTTGATGTAGAGGAAACTAGCACGAAGACCATCACTGAGTCTACCAATAAAGCGAATGATAGTGGAGCAGCAGCTTCAGTGGGGGTTACGGAAGATGACCCAGTCGAGACTGAAGAATTGGAACCACCTTCCACAGAGCCTCCAGAGCAGAGGCCAACAGAGATTCCAGAGCAGCGGTCAACTAGAACGCGGAACCCTCCCATCCGATACGGACTGGCTTACACTCATGCTTCAGTGATAGCACAAGAGCCAAGAAGCTACTTGGAAGCAGTATCTGGACCAGAAAGGGAGCAGTGGCTAGCAGCTATGGCTTTGGAGGTGCAGTCACTGAAGGCAATGGGCACCTGGACACTTGTTGATAGACCAAATTCTCGCAAGGTCATTCCTGGACGCTGGGTGCTTGCTGTGAAGAGAGATGCAATGGGACAAGTGGAGCGGTTTAAAGCCAGATACGTGGTGAAGGGTTTTATGCAAGTGGAAGGACTGGACTTCAATGAGACCTTTGCGCCAACCTGTAAACCAGAAACAAAGAGAATACTACTGGCTTTGGGAGCGCAAGATGATCTTGTACTTCATCAGATGGACGTGAAGTCAGCCTTCCTCAACTCGCCGTTAACAGAAACTGTGTATATGGAACAGCCCGAGGGGTTTAGCAGCGGGGACAACCAAGTGTGTTTGCTACAACGCAGTATCTATGGGCTGAAGCAGGCAGGAAGGGACTGGTACCAGACGCTGAGCACGTTTCTTCTGGAGACTGGTTTCACTCGAAGCACCAATGACTTCTGTTTGTTCACGATGAGGGGAATGGATGATGCTATGATCTATGTTCTAGTATGGGTGGATGATATCATCATTGGCTGCAAACTGCAAGCAGAAGTTGACAGGGTGAGGGACCGATTCACTGACCGATTCAAGATGGATGATCGCGGTCCATTAGCCTGGTTTTTGAAAATGCAGGTCAAACGGGCACCTGGTTCTGTCACTGTGAATCAGTCTCGCTACATTGAAGACTGCTTGGAGCGCTTTGGGTTGGCTGACTGCAAACCAGTAGGGACACCAGCTGATATCAGCACTCAGTTGACGAAGAAGGACTGCCCTGGAGCGGGCTCAGAAGAAGCAGTGGCAATGCAGCGTGAGGACTACAGAGGCATAGTGGGCTCGTTATTGTACATAGCCAAGCAAACGAGGCCAGACATCCTAGCTACTGTGACTCAACTTTCACGGTTTCTGGAGAATCCTGGGAGAACACACTGGGTGGCTGCTAAGAGAGTACTGCGATACCTGAAAGGAACCAAAGATCTGGAGCTGTGCTACATCAAAGATCCTGATGGGTTCAACCTTTATGGTTCAGCAGATGCTGACTGGGCTGGTGACGTTGATGACAGAAGGTCAACAACAGGCTACAGTTTTCATGTGCAGCGGTCAGGAGCAGCAATCAGCTGGAGTACCAAGAAGCAACCTACTGCAGCAATATCTACCAGCGAAGCTGAGTATCAGGCAATGGCAGCGGCTGTTCAGGAAGGCCTCTACTTACGATCCCTACTCAATGAGATGGATATGACGTGTGATGGTCCAACTGTGATCAACGAGGACAACCAGAGCTGCATCAAGATGTGCAAAAATCCCGTAATGCAGAAGCGTACAAAGCACATTGATGTCAAGTATCACTTTGTCCGAGAGCGGGTCGAGGATGGAACATTTGCGCTCGAGTACTGTCCAACCGAAAACATGGAGGCTGACTTGTTGACGAAATCCCTGAGCAAGGCAAAGGTGGATCAACATCGTCGAACGCTGATGGGTTGCAGCCTGACATTGGACAAAGCCAATTCAGCCTGAGTGGGGGTGTTGAGGACAGACGAGCTCAATGCCAGACTGGTGAAATACCAGACCAAACTCAAGGTCAGACTTGAGCAATAGAAACCTAATTAAAGGTCAACTGGTATAAAACTCAATGCACTCAGACAAGGTCAACTGGTCTGCTGGTATTTGATAAACTAATTAATTAACTGGTAATTAATTAACTGGTACTATTTGATGCTCAGTTTGTCGTGTCATTTTATAAACACAATCTCAATTCATTCTTCAACAATCAGTATCTCTTCTCTCTCCTCAGTTGAAACCTCAGATAACTCTCAAACCTCTATCCCCTAGTCCTACTTGCTCTAACTCTGAATCTTAACATTTTTGAAGTGGAAGCAAAAAATGATGCCAGAACAGATTTGAAGGTGAACGTTGAAGATGTTGGAGTAGTCGTTCAGGTGTTGCTCACGGGGACATTTCTCAACTTGATGACATCTGTGCCGCCTTCTTTCAAGTACAAAATGTATGGGTTGCTGGGATATTATGACGGAAATACTGAGAATGACTACACCACTAAAGGTTATGTTGAGCTAATTTGATTTTGTTTTATCCAGTCGCATATTTAGCGCGCAGTCAGACGCCTTTCCGAGTCAGGGATTGGAGCCCAAAAGTTTCAAATCCATAAAATAGTACTTTAAGTTCAATTTTATAAAGCCAGCCATATTGGCAGAGCACTCTTAAAGTTTCTCTACTGGCATGTTTTGGTGTCGAAATATACAAGGGTGATTGCGTGCTGAAATTAATCATAATAACCATTAAAATCATAAATTGTTTCCATATCGAAAAATATGTAACAAAAATTTGTTAATATACATAATTCTGGTAACGTTTGACGGCTTAAATAGAACAGTAATATTTGAAATACTGAATATATATTTTTTAATTGCTGACAAGACTATATTTGAAAATATTTTGAATGTTAAAACAAAATTTACCGCTTCCTCTTTTTTGTAGATGGAGCAGTAGTAGATGCAGACACCGACTATCTGACCCTCCACAACCAGTTTGGCGAGTCATGGCGAGTGGACGAATCTGATTGGCTGTTCCAGTCTGAGCCAATCAAAAATGCAATTTCAGCTGACATCACGACTGGATCAGCCGGGTTCCAGCCCAGATACGACATAGTGTTTGACAGTGAGGAGGATCGGTTGGCAGCTGTGCAGATCATCTAAGTTTTCTTCGAGTGATTCTTAGCTTTTGTAAAAGACCACAATCATTTTCAGTTACCGAAACTGAAGTATGTTTGAAGTTGGATCACAATATGCATCTGACGATAATCTTTCCTAATCACGGGCGAATAAATTCGTGTGCGTAACTAGTTATTAAAATCTAAGGAGTGAAAAAACAGCATGCAGAAAACGCATATCCTAAAAATACAAAAAAAATAACCCAAAAAATCAACGATCAAGATCAATTAATGATCAAAAACGACTAATCAACATGATTAGGCTAAAACATTTTCCAGCAGTGAAAATTGATTTGTTTGGAACAATCATTTTAGCAATGCAACAATGACACTGCCTGTATGCGAGACGTTTCACTGACTGGCAATTTTTCCTTCGCCACAGTGTTCCAGGCTCTCGAGGAATCGATCCAAAAAGCGGATCAGATGAGCGAACTGTTTCGAGAGCACGAACCCGAATTCGCCGAGGAAAATAAGGCGGTGATTATCTTCTCGGAAAAAATGACTGGGGTTGTGGTAGCCCTTGGATGCTACTTCCTTCTCTCCCATATCGATTGATGAGCAGACCATGAGAAAAAGTTAAAATGAACTTCGAAGAAGAAAGGAGCTATGCGGAATGCAAGCATGCGACGCATTTTGTAAATAAAATTGAAATTATTATTTTGTAGCTTTTGCATTGGAAAAAAATGATAGCAAAATTATATAAGCGAACAAATATATCCAGATTTTACAGCACGCTTACTTACCTTTAGTGACTTCGTTTGATTTGGATACTCTTACTTACCTTTAGTGACTTCTTTTGATTTGGATACTCCGATACTCGTGTTGACCAAAAATGCTAGTCATTCAGTTTTCATATATGGAAAAAAAGCGAATCATACACTTTTCATGCTTTTGCATAAGTACAGAAAATAGTATGAAATGTCTATGACTAGTGAATGTTCCAATATGGAAATTGTATGCCTAGCAATTTTCCATAACCAAAAATTTAAGGTTTTTTAAATTCAGTCTCTCAAAACTTTTGGGTGGTGATCGTAACCAATCACAAGTGACAAAGTCCTTGGTAACTCAAAAGTAGAGTCCATAACATTTAGGCATCCTGCAAATTTAGTGCTTTGGAAACGGTATAAATTGTCTCGGATTTGTCTTACACAAACAATATAATTAAAATATCAAACTTTTAAATTTGGGCGAACATTTTCAAAGATGAATTTTTTAATTAGAGTATTTGAATAATCATGCATTCATTGATCAAGCCATACAAAAACATGCCATGCAAAGTAAATGGTACTTTGCATAGCATGTTTTTGTATGGCATGCAAAGTAAATGGAAAAGTAGTTTCTGTGTAACTGAGTTTGGAGTAAGCTATATCAAGTTATATCAAGTGGTTATATCAAGTGAGTCGAGCTGTGTATTGGTTTTCGACCAGTGCGTTGGGTATGAAGAGTTTTTGGTAGAGAGAAATCTGGGTGTTTAGGAACTAAGTTTCCATATCTTGTTTTTAATTGTGGAATGATCAGGGAATTTTGGGAGGTAGGGTTGCTTTAGGCTAAATGATCAGTTTGATCTTTTTTAGCTAATTCAAATTTTCCTTTTGATGATGATCTTGGTTTAAATTCAGACATTATTGTTGAGTTTTGTTTTGATTGATAGAAGGGGGTTGTTATTTTTGAGAAGCAGAAAGTTGGATATAGATGTTGAAGGTAAGTTGAAAATTTCTAGGTGTATATGAGTGGTTCTGTTGATAAGTTCATTGATAGTATTAATGAATCAGAAGGTTGCTGAAACTCTTCTTTCTTCAAAATTTTAGTTTGGGGTGCTTAAAACTTTGTAATTTTTTCTGAGTTTATTTCTAACACGAGATGATTGACGTTGTTCTGATTTTTTTTCTTTTGTTTCGAGTGTTAAATTTTTGTCTCATAATTTTGATTTGTTTTTTTGCTTTTAATGATTTGTTTAGGAAGTTTTTGTGATATTTTCTGTGGTATTTTCTGGGTGAGTTTAGTAAATCATTAGAGTTATCAGATATTTTTGGATCGTTTATGGCTTCTGTTTTGTCAACAATGTGTAGTCCTGTAAAAAAATATAATTGTGTTATGTCACGAAGAGCGTACGTTTTTGGATAATATGGTAAAATATTTCCATTAAAAATTGAATTAAGAATGTTATATATTAAACGTTCGTGTGCACAATGATGAGGAAATTGGTCATTTAGTTGGATATGGCCTTGCTCTTATTGAAGTTTTTCTTGGTGTGCAGAAGAAAAACGTCTAGAGGAAGAGTCTAGAAAATTTGAAAATTAACCCATTTTCAATTTTCGTCTTTGTTAGCGACTGTTTTTAATTGTTTAAGTTCATTTTTACAACTTTTTTGGGTCAAGAAGTAGTAATCGTTCTATATCACTCTGACAGAAGGATGTATGATCAATTCTATTTTTGTTTCCATTTGGAGATTGTGAACAGTTTTAGAGAATTTTCCCGTGAAACTAAAACCTGTTAGAGTTGTAGCGCGGGGTTTGGAGTAAAGTTTGGCGGCTACAATTTAATGATTCAAGGTCACGTGTCTCAGATTCACATTATTTGACCTGGTTAATTGCTCTTTGTCTAATGTTTTTTCTTCGTGATCTTCACAATCATAAGGTGTAACACGGAGATCTTGTGGTCCTGTTCGAGGCGAAGGGTTTTATGATTTGTTGGTTCGAAGTGCACTAAAAAAGAAAGAACAAAGCTTGATAAAATAATTAAAATATACATTTGTGCGAGAGTCCTGAAAAAGGATTGTAAAATTTATATGTCCTATGGTCTTTTTTGTGTAACTATTACAAATTATTTATCTTGTGAGGGGGTAAATATTCTGTTGTGAGGGGGTAAAGATTGAGCGGTGATGTCTGGTGGTGACAGTGCTAATCGATGATGTATTATATTGTTTAATTATTTTGTTATTTCAAAGTTATTTGTTCTTTCACAAAGAGTAAATTTCTGCTGTGAAAGTATATGGGTTTTATGTTCTTGAATGTCATTGAATATCGTGCCTATACTGTAGTCTATTCAATGCACAATTATGGGGGTGACTACTATCGAGATGTTTTCCAAAAAAGGGTGGGGTTGGTAAAATGAGTTCAAGTTTAAGCGGAAAGGTTTATTTGTGCTTTGTAGTTTGTGATGTCTGTTGTTTAGTTAACTTGCAAAGGTTGTGGGGAACGTATTTGATGGTTTTAGACATGAGATTGAAGATGTTGATGGAAGAAATATTGTTTCCGGTAATGACAAGGTTGTATCTGAAAATTTTCTATCGGTTCGGTTCATTTTGAAAGTTGGGTTCAGCTTGAGAGAACGTTTGGGTCATCCTCTGTGGGAGCCTTTGTGATGAAACGAGAGGGGGTTAAAAGGATTTTCACAAATTTCTGTAGAAGTTGGCGTTGAACCTAAATAATCTGATTGAAAATTTTGTGTATTTTGTTGAGAAGTTGTTGAGAACTCGGGGTTACTTTGCATCATACTATGAGAAAAAAACTAGAGGGTGTTGAAGATGAGGGTATAGCAAATTGATACAGTGCGTCGGTGATGAATAAATTGTCAGACAATCGTAGTTTTTGTTTTTCGGTTTTGATTTAATGTCGTGTTCTGTTAAGGTCTTGTTGTAATGGGGAATAAACATACTATTCGTTGGTTCATAATATGATTCGCTTAGTGGTGCGTAACGACGTGCGGGTGTTTTTGGTTGATAACGATGCGTGTTTTTCTTCAAAGATGTACGTATTTTCTACATATGATATGCGAGTAGATGATTAGGGTTGATGTGTTCGGCTAAGTGTAGGTGTTAATTGGGGGTCTAGGGATGGGATGGTACTTTGGAAATATTTGATAGGGGTTGTTCTAGCAATTTTGATGACTATTTTTTCTTCGATGTATTTATTAAGTTTTTGATCCTGATAATGTTCTTCAGCAAAAATGATGATTAAAAGCATTGCTAATACAAAACCAACTTTTGTTTTTAAACATTTTTAAAGTGTCAATACTAGAACATTTGTCAAGGTTAAAAAATTCGTGAAAAGGTTGAAAATGTTTTTTCCTATCTAGTAAGTTGATACCATCATTTTGAAAAATTGTTCAGTACCGTACCTGTTTAGGTGGACGATAGTTTTGGAGAAAGAAATTTAGGTTTGAATGAAGGAAGAGAAAATCGTAGAGTGAAATTTCGGTAGAATATGATTAGTAATTCTAAAATATCAGCTATGAAAGAATACGAAGCTAAAAAATGTAGAAAAAATTGAGAGAAACTTGGAAATCACTGTTTTAAGATTCTTGTTTTAGGATGCTGAGTTTGGATTAGACATTTAAAGTGGTTCGCTTTATTAATTTTTTTTGAGTTATCAAGAGGGGTCTAACTGTTTTTTGATAATCGACAAGTGAGTTGAGTATGAAGAGTTTTTGGTAAAGGGAAATCTGGAGGCTTAGGTAGCAAATATCTGACTCTGTTTTTAATTGTGAGATGATCAGGGAATTCTTGGCAGGTAGGGCTGCTTTATTATAAAAGATCAGGTTGAATTTTTGTAAAGCTAATATAACAAGTTCCTTTTGGTGATACTCTTGGTATAAATTAAGACAAAATAGTTGATTTTTGTTTTATTTGACAAAAATGGGTTGTAATTTTTTCATGATATTTATTTAGGTTGTCAACAATGCAACAATGAAGGTACGGCTTATTTTTGACCTGAAGGTTTTGGAGTTGAAGTTCAGATGGAAGTTATATCGGCTAATAAAAGTGATGGTGTTCAAATAAAGAGTGAGGTGATTTGATTGGTTGTTTTGAAACTAATTATTTTTGAGAAAAAAAGGTGTTGATAAAGGGATATGTTGACATATGGATATAGGTGTTGAAAATATACTGAAATTTTGAAGATGTATATAAAGATTGTTTCTGTTGATAACTTCATTGACATTTTTAATGAATCAGAAGTTTGCTGGAATTCTACTTTCTTTAAAATTTCAGTTTGGGTGCTTAAAACTTTTTAAGGGTAGGAGAGTGAATCGACGTTTGAGGTCGTTAGACACTAGTATTACGAGATGGAGAAAACAAAATTGGTAATTGATCCAGGGAAAGCCTTGTTGATCAAACATCTAAAATGATTTGAAATTGAAATGTTAAGGTTTTAAAGAAGTTAAGACTTTAAAGATTCAAGGATAGCCTTAATATTCTGATTGAAAAAATTATTTAGAATAAATTAAAATTAGGATTGGAAATAAAGGTCTGAAGGTTCAAAAAAAGGTTAGAAATTTAGAATTTAGATGAGATTAGCTTTTTCAGCAAACTTTTGCATAATTTAGATGAAAAAACAAAGAAGCATAGTTCAAGAAGACAGAAGTACTCAAGATGAAAAGAACTTTTTATAGTTTCAATAAAACTAAAATAAATAGATTTTCTAACTATTTTGTTTTGTTTTTTAATGAATTATTTTAAAAATTGTAAAGTTTTTAAGGTTACTGCAGATTTTTTAGCATAAAAAAGTTAATCTAAATCGGTTTGGTATTTATGCTTTTTGTAATTATACATCAATGAGAGATATATAGCTTCGGAATGAATCTTAAAACTCCGAGTATTGTAATTCATATTAGAGAAATATAAATGTAGTGTTCATGATTTTATAAAGGAATAAACGTTGCAGTCTGCTTTTTCATTTCACGATGTAGAAACTCGGCCTGTT